TCACACCAATCTGCTTTTGGTAGGTGCGTCAGTTCATGCTTCTTCCTTTCTTCCTCAGTTGGCATTTCTGGTCTCTTTTCTCCTTTTGGTTCTCTTGTGAATTCTAGTTCTAGTCCTTTGGAGATCTCAACCAATTCCTTCATCTTGTTTGCTGAAATAGCTTGCTTCAACCTTTGCCATATCTGAGTCTTACTTCCAGTCTTTCCTATCTTCATGAATTCACATGCTGTTCTCATCTCTTTGAGTGAACTTTCTGGGCTGAGTTCAACTCCTGCCACAATCATAGCTTCTTCCATCTTTTCTCCTAACTTTGGCAGTTGCTCTTCGATTTTCTTCCATTCTTTCATTTCTTCTTCTTCAGGTGGTTCACTTGGAAACAGGTTTTCCATTGCTTCTGCTGCTTCCTTTTCCACTTGCTCCACGTTCTCTTCTTTGTATCTTTTACTTCTTTGTGAACCTCCATCTCCACGTCTGCTGCTTCCACTTCTTTCTCTTGTTCTTTCTTCTTCTTCTTTGAAGATGTTCTTTCATAATCACCATACTCTTCAAGTCCCAGAGACTTTCTCTCCAAGATCGTGATGACCACCGAGTTCTCTTCAACTGCGTTTATCGCAATCTCTTCTCGGTCTTCCCACTTCTCAGCACACTCCACAAACTCCAGTTCGCTCCATACGATGTTGTCGCCATCGTACCTCGATACCAAAGTAGTTCTGAACTTGAATGCTTTCACATCATCATACGTGGGGTCATAAGTCACATACTTGTCATAGTCGATCCTTGCTGGCTTCCCATCTGACATGAAAACTTGATAATACTTCATCTTCTCGAAATCATCTTCCATCTGCTTGATCAGCGTCAGCTTCCTCACTAGTGGTTCATCACTTTCAACCTTCACTTGTGCTCTGTAGATCTTGAGGTCCGTCACTGTTGAGTTTCTTGCAAACCTCACGGGCACTTTTGCTGAACCTTTCTTCAGGTAAGCATTGAACTGGTCTAGAGGATCAAGTCCCCATCCGACTTTCCACAACTTGCCTACTGCAAATAGTGGTTGTGTTACATCTCCGAACACAGCTGAGTCTCTTACTTTTATCACTCTTCCATCTGTTCTTTGGAATTCAAACGTGATGTTCGCTCTTGTTTCAGTAGTCCTTCTTCTGTTGCCTTGAGCATCTTGAATGACCATTCTCAAAGCTGGGAACTCAACTGTTCCTAAGTCTTCACTGTAGTAGCATAGCGGAAGTACATGACAATCCGCTCCACTGTCTAACACGACTTCAACTAGTTCTGCATAGCTTGAGCTTACAGTCCTTACTCGATGCACTTCTGGCTCTTCATCTTGAACGCTTCTGAAAAGTCTTTCTCTTTCTCTTGCCTGACTGGCATTCTGCTTGTCCACTTGCAGATCTTCATACCACTTGTGAAGTTCATCCTTCTCATAATCTTCTTCATCACTCTCATCGACCATGCTTGACATGAAGATAACTGTGTTTACCTTCACTGCTCTTGCTGCATAGTCCATCACCATCTCTTCAAACATTCCTACAAGATCGACGTACTCTTCTTCATCGTCGAACACTTCTTCAATTACTGGCATAGGCGTTGTCACCAACCTACGCACTTGCTCATTTCCTTTTGCTCCTTGTGGTGGCCTTGCTTGTGCCTGTGTAGAAGAACTTGGTTGCTCTTCATACCATTCTTCCTCGCCTGTCTCTTGGACGTTGCGAACTTTTCCTTTCTTTCCTTTTCCTTTCGGTGGTAACCAACACTCCGAAGAGTAATGTCCAGTCTTACCACAATTGAAACAGACAGGTCCGTTTTGTCCACCTTTTCCTTTTCCTTTGTCACTCTCGTAGCCTTTCCCTTCAGCCTGCCTGATGCTTTCTTCCTCCTTTCTTTCCATATCCTTTTCCTTTTCCAAAACCTCTTCCTTTTCCTTTTCCTCGAAGCGGCGAAGAGTCCGCGGCCCGTAGGCCTTGTCCAACGCAATTAATTATCGTGGGTTTCCCACGATCTTCCGCCCCGTTTGGAGCAGGCATCGCCCGCAGGCGGAAAAAGGGAGCTAAGTCCTACGGGAGAGTAACCTCGTCCCAGATGTGCTAAGGAGTGCGAACAGTCCTAAGGGAGCGTAAAGCGTCCCTGCTCTGCACTACGGAGCCTACGGGAGGGAGCGTCCCGTCCCGCAGAGCTGCACATCAGAGGAGTGAGACACGTCCTCACCGGGAGTGCTACACGTCCCAAGGAGAGAGGCCGTCCCCTGCAGAGCAGAACAGGAGGCTCCCGTGTTCGCGCTCTTACGGAGCAGGGAAGTACCTGAGCCGAACTCGTGCTGAGCTGAGAAGAACCGGGTGAAAGACAACCAACCAGAAGCTCTCCGAGCAAAGCTGGAGGATGAAGTGGTCGAGACCCGCCGGAGCGAATCTCTTAACCACCGCTACGCACCGGTGTCCCCACGCCACACGCCTCGAGGAAGGGCAGTGCCGCAACAGGCCAGCCCTGACGTGAAGGAGGCGGCCGGTACAGGCGCCCGCGGAGTAACTCTGACAGGCGAAAACCACCACGGGAAAACAGACACAACACGAGAGCGACGCCGGGCACACCGTACCCCGGAGGGGAGGAGCAATCAAACGGCATCGCGAGGCAGTCCAATCCAAACGATACCCTAGCTGCTGGATGACAGAACCCAGCGCACGATGGTTTGGGCACTGGATGTGGAAGGCAACAGAAGAGTACCAGCAGCAGACAAACGCAAAGCCGAAGTCTTCTTTCCAGCCAGTGACACGACAACGGGTTGCGCACTAGCCCATTCAGCTTCGGAACTTGCAGCGCGAAGGGCATGAGTGGCTCCACTGTCTACCAAAGCCAAAAAACTAGGACTACCATCTACAAAACCTGCCCAGGCTCAATGGCTGTGAGATGGATGGTCTTAATGCTCGGCTTAGGCTCCTTCTGCGCTGCAGGTTTGTCTTCAATCGCCGGAGACTGCGCGCAAGCGGCTCGGGTGGATGCAGGAGGAAAGGCTTCGGAAGAACAGCTGCAAACATCCGCATAAACGCTGGCAGTCCTCTGCTCGGCCTGGACTCGCGCCCGGCTGGATTGCAGCAGACGCCTGATCAGCCGTTGTAGGCCTGTGGCCTGCAGCATTGTTGGTGTTTCCTCCACCTGGCTGTCTTTTCCCCTTTTGGACTTTCTCCAGCTACCGGGCATGCTAAACACTTTTTGCTGCGCTTCTAACGAGAAAGTCCTGACATGTCGTGGCTAAACGTGCACTTAGGACTCCGCCTACACCCCGAAGTACCCATGAAAAACTTGCAGAGCTTTGAAGCCTGCGGCTGCCCACTGGCCTTTAGAGATGTTCACGGACTGGGCGTGCCTACAGCTCGAACTTTAGGGGCACTCACACCTGTGGTCTTAAAGACTGCAAGGGCTTCCATCTCTGCAAGCAAGTGCTTGTAGACTCCAGGACTGCAGACGAAGTTGGTTGAGCATCCATTTTTAACATGGAACGAAGTATAAACGTTCGAAACTTCGCTTCTTCATACTGCGCCAAAACTGGCTAGTGATGGTAGTAAGGCTCTTGGACAAAATGGTCGAGTCCGGAGGTCACATGTTGCAACTTTCACAGCGGTTGTACCAACGAATCCACTCATGCAAGTGGACTGCATGAGATTCTTCTGAATAACCTCCTTTTCTGAACCTGGTGCAGATTGATTGCATTTGCAGGCCACAATGTCCACTTTGATAGACTCGGGAATCTACAGATTCCAAAGTTGACATGCACCCATCACCTTTGAAGCAACTTAGCCGGTACAAGTGGCTCAACCTTTGGCCTTCCAAGGGTGATGACGAAATCCAAACCCCATAAGCTTGTCAACCACATCCAAAAACTTGATGCCACCACATCACCGACCAAACCGCCAATCAGAACTAACCAATGTTGGTACTAAAGAGACTCTATATCCGAACTGAGCTGTGCCAAAGCTGGAAAACTCGAGATGTCTGGCTTAACAGCTTCAGAGTTGGTGGAAGAATTGCCGCCATCGCGCTCGCAGCAATCGCAAAAGCCTGAGCTCCAGTCTGCATGACCGCGACGCTCCGTACGCCGTTGATCTAGGCGTTTCAAAGCCCTCAGGACTACTTCCAAGATTTACTGCAGATGGGTTGCACTCTGACACGCCTGCGGCAACATTGATCTGCTGCCATTCACTTTCGAGCCACACTGAAGCTCTAAGTCACTGTAGTTGCAACTCCGCATCCAACGCATCAGCGATCTCCGTGGAAAGCGTACTTTTCGATTCTTGTGGTTGCGCCTTTCTTTGTTAAGTCGAGAGAGAAAATCTGACCATGTGGTTTCTTGAGCGACGCTTGAAAGCGAGGTTTTCTCAAGAAAGAAGCGACCATACTCGATCCAAAGAAGTGAGGAGCAGTTCCGAGTGCTTTTTGCGTGCATGCCGCCTGGAAGCCGCAGTGTGCACCACTGGTGCCATCGAACAAAGCAAGAACTCTATTTTTCACACCTTCCTCTCAACGATTCCCTTCTGGATGTTTCTGTAGCACATCCCGCCCAAGTATGCGGATGTGGAAAGTTCCAGCGCGTCGTTAGCACGCGGGCAAAGCTTAAGCGAGCGTCGATGTAGCTTGATAAACCTCTATGTCGTGTATCCCACAAGGAGAGCTCGCATAAAGCATTATCCGATCGAACCATTGTGCTGCGCGGCGAGTTCTTCTCGCCGGGCGCGGCGTTTCGCGCGGTAGACTAAATTAAATTAAAAAGAAGTTAGCGGCGCGCGCGAAGCGCGCGCCGCCAGCGGCTTTCGGGTTTAGGGTTTAGGGTTTAAGGTTCGGGTTTAAGTGTCTCCCACTCCTTCCCACGGTCAACAACAGCTGTTTTCGCATTCAGTCCAAGGTGAGGACTTGCACTCCGTCACGAACAACTACCGGATTGCGCTGTACAGGCTCCGGGTTTACGAAAGGCGGTTTGAAGGCAGACATGGATGCCCAAGTCACAGCCCCAACGTCTCTTTGAGACTGTCGAAGCTTCCAAAAACGGCAAACATATCTTGGCCTCCAAACCAGTGCTTCAGCTGGAAAAGTCGCACATGGAAATGCATGAGCTGCTCCATGCGGGGCGCCTTCTCTTCAGAGGAAGGGCCTACAGTGTTGAAGAAGGGGCGTCTTCCAACAACACGTCGGAAACTCGCGAAAAACCCATCTATCTTCTGGGTCCCTCCAACTCTTAGCTGCTCCTCGTAGTGGTCTCCAACCCACACTTGGACCCGCATTTTCTTGGAAAATTCCGGGTGGAGCGGTTTGTGCTTCACTCGCGCCGTCATTTCAAACGCTTCCTTCTGCCAGAATTGGCTCGTTAGAGTCCAAAAGACCACAATCTCTTCAACAGAAATGGGGCCGCCTCCACCTTGACCCTTTCGAGTGATGCGGTAGCCCAAACGCTTCAGCCAAACCAAACTGGATCCACGCCGTGCAACTGCCAGATACCTGAGCCAGACAATTCCGTGGGCTCAACCACTTGACCGAAACGAAATCTCATCCAGCTCGACATCTGCGCTGCACCCTCCAACCACGATGGCGTCGTTCATCTGGTCGATGATCGGCACGAAGTGCTGGTTGAAGGTCTCGAAAAACGTTCGGTGTCCGATGATCCACACCCAGAAGCAAGCTGAAGTCGTCTGGTGAGAGGTGGAGCTTGGAAGAATAGAGACTGAGAGGAAGTCTCTGGCCCCAAACAAGTCCGCGTCCACGTTTGTAAGAGCTACAGTCTTCCTGCACACTTTGCAGCGCCAGTTGCAAGCACCTCCACGAGGCTCCAACTTCCACTTGGAACTCTGGCAACTGCAAGTTCGAGCTGCAGGAGCTTCAAGGATCTCAGCCAAGGAAGTTCTGCCTTTCAGTTTTGCGGTCCGATGTGGCGGTCTTTGTGAAAAACAGAGCGCGCAGCACTCGGTCTTTTTCTTGAGCCAAAGCGGAGTCGCGTCGGGCTCTGACTGACAGTGAAACACCTTGCAGCTGTCTGTCTCCAAGCAAAACACTTCAAGCACTAACGAAACGAGACGAAACGAACGTGCAGTCACTTCCTAACTCAAAAGCACTCCTCACAGCTTCAGACATGCCGAAAACATCAGGACATCCAAGGTCAAATGGGATTTTCTTCTTCCCGTGCGGACAGCAGATGCCGCGGCCGATGGCCGCCTTTCGTTAACGAACCTAGAAACTGTACAGATCAAACAGCACACCACTCTACACTACGCACATCCGCAACGCAAGCGGGGACTGCAGCACTACGGGAGTCCCACCAGCTCTCCCGAAGGAAAGAAGGTGGGACTGTGGCACACAAGAGCGTAAGAGCAGCGCTGGACCATGCACCAAAGCTCAGAGGTGACCAGCATGGGCAGCCAGGGAGCACAGCAAGCCTGGCAGGCTTAGCAAGGCCACCAAAACAGGCAAACAAGCCTGACACAAGTCGAAAGGACCAGAGCCCAGGGGCCATAGCCCCGAGTAAAGCTTGAGTCGGACCACGGCAGCTGACAGCGCCTGTACACACCAAGTTCGCTACCAGCAGCCTGTACACAGCGACGAAGAAGGCCCCCCGGTGGTACGCACACGCGAGTGCACGTACCACAGAAGGGTCATGAGCATTATAGCCAAGAGAACTTTCATCAAGTGCACTGGACCACGACTGTCCTGGGCACATGGCCACAAAGCAGCGATGCATCAAGAACAGGCGGCAATCCTCGACAGACGACAAGCCTCCCGAAGGCACATTCGCACCAAGAGCCCCTTTCGCGAAGCCGTCGGGAGGCACTCACACGCTGCGCACTCACACGCTGCAGCAGTACCGAAGCCCTGTAGGGAAGGCAACGCAACATGAGCATTATGTCAAGGAAGCAGTCGGGCGTGCATTTGGCTGGAAAGCAAACCAACCAGGGCCTCACAGGTGCCCAAGCATCTGCCTTCAGCCTTGTTTGACCAGCAACTTCAGTTTTCGGGTGCAGCTGACAAGCGCACACCGGCGTGAAATCAAAAGGATTACGGGGGTCGCTCTCAAGGGGGAAGCGCGCGGGCAGAACCCTAGCCTAACGCCGGGCAAACCCCTCAAGCACTGGCGTGACAGGATGCAGTATTTGTGCAACGCTGGTGACTGGCCTCGCCACAAGAAATGCAACAGCGCGAAACCAACATCCCACATTGCATACCAGCGGGACGGGTACAGTCAACCAACATGAGAGATGGCGACAGCTACAGCCTAAGCCGCTCCCCACTAAACAAAGGCACGGACGCAAGACCCTTACGTCGGCAAAGTACTCGCCCCCACAGCATTAGAAGCCCAACCCTCGAAACAGCCCTAGAAAGATGCTCACCTAAACGACAAACGGGTCTGTTTGGAGGTGTCCTTAGACTTGGCTTTGGGCTTGCTCTTAGGTTTGGGCTTAGGTTGGGCAGAGCAAGGGGAAACAGAACTGCCACCGCCTTGCTGCACAACTTCCGCAGGGATTGACTCTTTGGCCTCAAAGGATTCCTCAATGGACCGGCTCGTATCAGCTTCAACCTGGGCCAGGAACGCACTCTCGTTTGGGCGTTAAGTTTACGCCCGAGCCCTTTGCAAGTGGACTTCAAGACCGACGACGACGAGGTGGCACCAAGTTTAACCATGGCAAGACACTTGGAGCACATAAAGAAAGAACCCTTATTAACCATGTCATGACTGCCATGTATGCCCCAGCAGGCGGGAACCGGGGCAGCTCTGTCGCGACAAGGATTGGACATTTTGCGATCAAAAACCTCAGGAGGGTTACACTGCTCCACATAAAGCTGGCAAACGGTGCACTGGATCGCAAAGTTGTTGCTGGCTTTGGCCTCACAATCCTTCCAAACATGACCCAGCCCAGGGTCCGGGTTGGCGAGAGCCTCCTTAAGGCGTTGTTTTTTGTTCAAGGGCTTACCACTTTTTGGGCACTGACTAGGTTCATCACAAGAATCCACGGTCTTAGACTTACGATTTTTTGCATTTTTGGGCTTGGCAGGACTGGGCTTAACAAAGGCGGCATTAGGGACAACCAGGGGCTTAGGGGCAGTATCAGTAGCACCCCTATTCAAAATCCACGGAAAATCCGGGCTCTTGCTCTGCCGTATGATGAAACCAGCACGGCGCGCTAAGGAGTAGCAGCCTTGTTCCACCACGGAATCAACTTTCTTCAGCCACTTCGCATGCGCCCCCGAAAAGTGCTGAGAAGCCCTTTCCCCACAGAGTTTGTCAACGTCTTCGTTGATGAGGCGCCTCCACTGCTCCCAGCCCTGCTTTTCAAAGTAAGCGGCACTTTTATGTGAAGAAACCCAGTGCAAGCGGATGCGACTGCGTTCGTGCCAAACCGTGCCCCATGGCACAGCACCTTCCTGCGGCGGGTTGGCCTTGCTCAGTATTTGCTTTACACTTTTGCAGTCAATGGTGGCATCAAAGTCACCGGTGACACGTTGCATCAATTCAAAAAGAGCTCGCTGTTCGGCCTGAGGCACTGTCATAGGCTCCGATTCCGAGCAGGTGACACTCGCAACCCGCTGCGGCTGCCCATTGACCAAGGCATAGGCCCCTATGGACCAAGTCGTTACGAGGAGCCTTTGATCCGAGCCGCCTGGTCCTCCAGAAGCATCACAAGCAAAAACATATCGACTTCCTTCCAAAGTACTCTGGGTCAACCAGAGTCCCGTGACTTGCAAGCCGCATTGATCAATCGCAGGTTTGGGATGCCGCACTTCACTAAGGGGAGGCAGGCCTCTCAACCACAGTGAAGGCCAAGGGTACTGGGATTTCAAATCGGAAAACTCCTTGGCATCAAACTGCTTGCAAATGAACGGACATTCCCAAAGATTATGTTGCAAAGAAAGCGGACACTGGCACAGCCTGCACCAACCAGGCTTGGCTGAGGAAACCATCGCTCCTTGCCATACCGCATGCAAATTGCTAAGGGTAGCTCGCTGAACATGTTTGCGCTTCAACAACTTGCGGTGGACAGTGAAGTCAATGCCCTGATCGAGCGAACCACAACCTTCTTGCTGGGCAATGCGAAGCCCTTGCTGGTGTAGCAGTAATTTATGCACCCACTCCCAGCCGCTGCGGATGACATCAGAATTGGTCCAGTCGAGCTGAAGGTTCCCTTTGGCATGCCGCCACAGATGCACCTGTGAGCATTCCACACCCAACTCAATCAAATACGCTTGGGTGGCAGCAATTGGTCCGGTGACTCTCTTCCAATGGTCTTTTGCTTTGGACAAGTGATTCCAAATGCTTTTCCAAGTGCTGGCGAATTTTTGCCCATCCTCACGATGCCACTTTTTAAAGACACGGAAAACAGCCCTAATATGCTGCCGCATGATGGTGAAAGTCGGGTCTTCGCACTTGGCAGGATTCAAGGCAAAAGTCAGATCAACCGATCCTAGTTTTTGTCGGCCAGCATGTTTGCTGCAAATGGCGCGGTAGTACTTGCGCCGCTTGGGGCTCACCCCAAGGGCCTGGTGGCCCCAGAGGCCCGCTGACATGATTGAAGCTTTGACCACCCTAATCTTATGTGACACAAAGGGCACCCTGAGACTACAGAGTTTTTTATTACGGGCTTGTGCCTTGGCCTGTCTGGTTGCCGCTAAACCTAACAGCCGTCTTCGAGTGCCCCCGGAAGTGACACCTAGGTCGCGGGCGAGATTTTTGATGGCTGGATCATCCGGCTGGCATATTGCCTTCAAAGCCTTGCAAGCCTCAGACGACGTGGCAACAAAAGAAGTTTTGCTGATGGCAACTTTTGCACCCCTGGACTCCAGGGAATTGCGAAGACCTCGAAACAAGCGCAAAGCAATGCTGGCAGTTTGCTTGGGAGCTGCGGTAACCGTATCAAGACTAAGATCATCTATCCAAACATCCAAGTTGGACGCTCCTGGTTTGACACTAAGCTCAGCCGCAACATCATGCATGATGAGTTTGGCTATCGATGGTGCCGCAGGGCACCCTGGCAAGAGTCCGGTATTGGCCTTGATGACCGGTGCGACCGTGCCTTCGGCCTGTAGATACCTGGCTCCACTGTAAACCAGATATGCCTGGTGTAAAATGATGGGCGGATAGCCCAACTTGAGTCCCGCCCGGAACATTTCATCGAACCGGCAACGATCGAAGAAGGTCTCTAAATCTAAAAAGAGCGTTACCATGTGTAACCGGTGGTGCCGAGTACACTCCCCCCGGACCAGTCTCCCCAACGCGACGTCCAGTACGGCTCCACCCGGCAGGGAGCGGTCCCAGTGGCATTGATTAGCATACTCCTGCTGCCACTGGTTTATCAAGGAGAAACGGAGGCGCACATATGAACGGTAAAGCACATGGAGCAAGGCTATTGGCCTCTCGCGGAGTGTGCTTTTGGGCAGGCAAGCTATCAAGGAAATGGCAAACTGTGCTGGCCACTCTGCACTAGCCTCGCAAGCATGCATGAAATCAATAACAGCCCGGACTGCCTCTTCGCTCAAGTTGTTTAGCATCTGTGCCGTCCAGCCGTCGGCCCCAGGAGCCTTCGCTGGAAACTTTTTGAAAAGTTTTACAGCCTTCTCAAAATTTATGGGCGGCAAATGCTTGGCTTGATCGATAGCTCTTGCTTTGACCTCTGCCAACAAATGCGGGTCCGTAGTGACCGGCTGGCACCAAATGTCGTGCCACTGCTTCCATCTTTGGTACACTCTATCTTGCAATGAAAGATTTCGAAAGGGTCTATCACAAGGGGATTCCGTACTTTTGAGGCATTTGTACAAAGGCTTCATACCTTTTACCAAGGCAGCACTCAGCCACTTGGTGTATTGTTTAGTGTTAGCCTGCTTAAAAGCCCCGGTGTGATGCCTGTGTTGCGCGGTGGCTTCAGGTTCCAATGCAAGGAGAGCCGCAGGGTCGCATTGTTGACTGGCATTTGCAAGCGCGCTGGCAAAAGCCTGTAAGGAGGTCGCATCACCATACCATACATCTTTGAGCTGGTTCCCTGCTTGCTGCCCGAAACCACTAACATGCCAACCCGAGTTGCGCACAGCTTTGATCCAACCTAAGAATCTGCACCAGAAAGCCGAAGCCTTACCTCCCCAACCAGCATTGGGAGCGCCCTGCACAGGCAATGGCGCACGATGCAAAAGAATGTTGGCTCCTCTTCCCTGGGCCTGGCCATAAACTGACATTTCAACAGCACAGCTTAGAGCCGCAAAATCAATTGTCAAATCGTCTGTAACCTGCTCATCTAAGATGGTGACCTCTGGCCTGACTGTGCTTAGCTGAAAAGGCTGTGAATCGAGCTGCGCAGGCTTGAAACCCTTGAGCTGCGGCATTTTTTGATGCAACAGGGCAACATCAAGCTGCCAATGCAAAGCTGCATGCGGCCTTGACGGGGTGTTCCAGTCCAGCTGCACCACAGCACAAGTTGCCAGGCTATTCGAAATTAAACCAAAATCAATTTGGCCTCCGCCAGAACAGGTGGACGTGCCTTGTCCGACCCACACCGCACGCGCCTCCTCCCCAATATGGGTGGAGCTTAGGGTTTCAAAGTCATCATTAAAGTCACCCAAAATCGCAAAGGCACCTCTGATGGATCGGACAAAGGAAAGAAGTGATGCAATGATGCCGGCATTGGTGCTACTCTGGAAACCCTCGCCTGATTTCAAGTACACGTTGACAACGTAAAGATCAAAGCCTTTTACCCTGAACATGGCGGCTTTACCTTCAACGAGGTGGCTGGTGATTTGCGACACATCGAGGTGTCTCCGGTGCAAGATTGCCAATCCCCCGGTGTTGCCCCCTTTGCCCGTGGCCACAGCCGGGCACTGAAAGACCTCATACCCGAACACCCCAGCATGGGCAGCAAGAAGGCTGCCATCTTTAGCATCAAGGTGGGTCTCTTGAAGGAGGGCGAGGTCCGGGCTTAAATTCGCAATCCAACTAGCCAGCTCTTTACGCCATTTGGTGACATTAAGACATGTGATGCGAACCGGTTGCCTGCTGGGGCGGCACTGCAGGTTTGCCAAAACGTCCTCCACGGCCCATTGTGCCGCTGGGCCACATTCTCCATGAAGTGAATCCATGACCAGTTCGGCGGCGTTCCATTCAAAAGTTTGCTCTTGCAGCAAGCCTGTGTCTTCCAACCGGGAGATCGCCTCCAAAACGGCTGGCTCATCAGCATTTGCAAGGCCAATTTTGACGTCGTTCCAAAGTGAATGTTTGCTGGAGCTTTTGAAGTCGTGGAGCTCATGGCATCACGCGACCAAAGCTTCCGAGTGCCGCCATCAGGGCGCACATCGGGTGGCAAATCATGTCTTGCAGGCACCTGAGAAGCGCTTGCTGAAGCGTGCCCTGGGCAGCAAGACAAATCGCTATAAATTTGGTCCTGGTTATAGGAGGGTTTCGGATTTCCACAGATAACGGGGACCATTTTTTCCGCAAAACCTGAAAGTGGTGACGAATCGCCACAGTTTGCACGTTCCCGAGTGCAGCCAACGGGGCGCACATCGGGTTGCATCTCATGTTTCTCCGACCCTTCGGGATGCACCTTGCAAAATTCCAGCGACTGCTGAGTGTCGCGTGCCGGGCTGGGATCCAACAGGTTTTGCGAGCTATCGTCATCCACAGGTCCCCCAAGACCCCCGGGCCAGCGGCCAACCTCCTCCTGAGAATACGTCCAACTCCCGGTCATAACCTCCTCCGCCGGGGTCTTGGGGGCTCCCCGAAGGGGCTCTATTGATGCAAGGCGAAGTCTGCGGTTGTATCGCCGCCGGGCCCTGCGTGAAGACGGGACTCCAGTCCGCACACCATCAAAGAACCCAGCAGCAGCTTGCGCCTGTGACACATGAGTAATCAAGGGCACACTGAAAACTTCATCTTGCACATCAAAGTCCTGTTCCTCCTCACAAGCAAAGAAGTAGGCCGGCCCGGACAATGTGGCACGAACAGCAAGGGGCTGCCGGTCTGTGCGATGGTCGGCTGCCCACTGACACAAGCAGTCTGGGCAATAGCTCATAACATCACTCATGGCAGTGAGGAGCTGCTCTCGATGTCCCGTCAAGAGAGCCTTGCGGCACGCATGTACAAAGTCTTTGACCTCCTGGCTCGGCGTGAGCCCCAAGCTCGGCGCCTGTCCACAACACATGCACTTACCTGCTGCCTCAATGGGACTGGGAAGTGCCTCCAAGTCCACGCGTTGCAAATTGGGGTTAGGGTCCTCAGGAAACGAGGAAGCACACGGGTTAGGGAATGCAAATGAAAACATTTCCATGCTTCCAGTGCCCCTTTGCAGCGAAGATGTGGGCTGCAGTCCCACGTCACAGGTAATTTCGGGCCTTGAGGCGTCGCAGGTCTCACGGAGGCACAAGCAGTCAGGGCAGAAACAACAAGCGTCCCGAACCGCTATGTCAAGGTCCTCACAGCGGCTGTGCACCTGAAGCCTGCGGCACACGGTTAAAAAGCTTTGAACTTGATGGTTGGAATGCTTTCCCAAGACCTGGCCCTGGCCACAACTTAAACACACCCTTGCACAAGGAAGCAGTGCCACAGAATTGCCGCCGACAGCACTCCCAGGATGCAAATTGGGGTTAGGGTCCGCACGGAGAGCGGCGTCACACAGGTTCGGGATCGAATTGGGCAAAATTCTATTGGATCCAACGGATGTCCCCAACATTTGACTCAAGGCAGGACTTCCAGCAAGCACCTCAGTATGCACCTGATTGGGCTCGGAATGCCTCAGTCCTTGCACGAACCCAGCTGACCCATTCAAAGCAACTCGGAGCAAGGGTGGGTCTGCAAGAACGGTGATTTCACAAATTTGGTGCACAGGTTGGCCTGAATGCACATAAGGATCAAGCAAAACAGCCCTGCGGGTCCTGAAAAGAGTGTAATTTGTGAGGCAGAGCCTGAAAGGGGTAGCACTTGCAAATGCTTGGCCTTCGACCCCTTCTGATATCAAGATGTTGGGCTGCAAAACTCGGCTGAAGGCTCCCTCACACTGAGGATCTACCAGATGCAGCGTCCTCCAGCCGGGCACAAGAAAATTGGGGTTCGAGCTCTCACCAGCTGGCGCGGTCCACAGATTAGGGTTTGGAAGGACCTTCAAGTCAAAATTATTTCCGAAACACCAAGCATGACCCCACCTGGCCCTGCGACAACTGTTCGTTGACTCTGGCCTGGCACAGGAGAGGTTGGCCTGGGCTCGTGATCCAGGGACCTTGTGCTCCGGTAGACCAGTTGGCACCCGCTGATCAAGAGAATATCTTTTGTGAAGCCCAAACCGCGACTCAAGACTCAAAAGACAATGCTGGCATAAGGCAGGCAACGAGGGGTCTGGGCTAAGGGGAGGCATTGCAAGAGGTCTCTGGCAGCAAGCACAACACACTTCCTGACATGATGGCTGCCCAGACACTCCTATCAAGTCCACACCCCGAGCCGAAGGCCTAGAAACCCAACCTTGCACCAACGAAGGCTCAGCATGGGATGAGCTCGCGACGTGGAGAGCAGTAGCACAGCTTCTAGCCGACGCCACCTGAAAGCAAGGATTACAAACGCACATGCTGCTGGACCCAACGTGGAAACTCACACCTCGTGAGGACGCCAGGGGCGCAACACAGAGCGAACATGTTGTGTTGACAGCGGTCTGCTGGTTTTGCAAAATCTGAGGAGCGGTGCGGGTCTGGGGCCAACAAAGAAAAGCAGGAGCCTCAGGCACATGCGAGTCACTTCCCAAGGAACTCGGAACCCTTATCCAGGAAGAGAACCCCGGAATCCTCCTAAAATCCCCGGAACCCAGACCCTCACCTGCATCCTACAGATCCTCCTTCTCAGCGGCAGCCTCCTGCGTCTTTCTTGGCGACCTGGATCTGGTGCCACGCTGTCCGTTCTGCGCTGGCTCAGATTTCTTGGGCACATCTTGCGTGTTGGGTGCTGCGGCCTTAAGGTCAAAAGCCTGGCTGTCAGGGGGTCCATGTGTGCCGGCACGCACTGCGGCAATCTTTGCTTCCTGCTCTTCAGTCAAGGAAATCCCAAACTTCTCAAGAAACTGCGCAATTTCGCCGTTCAGAGATTCATCTTGGGCCAGGACTTTGGTGGTAAGCTCCTCGCCCGCATCTGCAACCTGTTGCTGCGCCTCTTCAATTTTGGTCTGCAACTGTTTCATCTCGGTCAGTCTTGCGTGGTATTGCTCCTTAGCTTGGTCGATACGCTTCTGCAAGCTAATCTTCTTGTCACCAAGCAATTTCAGAGCAACTGTGGCCTTACGAAAAGCTGCATTTGCTGCGGTTCCAACTTCATAAGAGGTGGGAGCCGGAGTTTGCTCCGGTGGCTTGAGACCTGCCTTGAGCATAAGCTCACGCTGCTGTTCTGTGGCCTCCGACCACAATTTTTGCTTCGCCTCACTTGCTTCCGCACCGTCCATGTCAACATCCAGATCGCCAAGACCTGGAGGCCGGCGGAACGACCGAGGCCGCAGCCTGAGGAGGCTTCCATCCTGCTTCTTCAATGGCCATCCGGGATTCGGGAGTCAACCTCTCCCACACCGTGTGCAAAGCTCGCGCAGCCTTGCCTGGCTTGCGCTCCCTAGCTTGTCTGGGCATCCTATAGGAGGCTTCAGACTCCTCCTCGCTGCTCAGCACAAACCTAGTGCGCTTTGGCTTGTCCTGACGAGGCCACGCTGCCCCGCACACTCTGCAACACGGGTGAGCTGCTACGCGATCAGCATACAGCCAGCTCTCCTTACATTTCCCGCACACTACATATGGACGCGACATGTCGGTGTGGATGCTGTCTCTGTCCAAGAAAACTGTACTGCAAGGAAGTTATGACAACAACTCACAGGGCGTTTTTGGCAAGCAAGGCCCTCTAAAACAAAACTTTTCCAGCAAGCACTCCAAGAAGTTTCTGCACAAGGAAAACAAGGTTGCAAGCTGTTTCAAGCGGTTGTCGGTTCTTGGCACTACGCTACTGCACGTCAGCCGGAGCTGGAAATGCACGCTACCCCCGGCCCACGCGTCCCGAGCTGCACAGGCAGCCTACGAGCAAACGTGTGGTTGATGTTTGAGACCTGTCGAGACCCACAGTCTAGATACGGACTCTAACCTGGGTGCCACGCCGGCAACAGTGCGGCGCTCGCCACTTGAACCACAACAGCTTGAGCCGAATGGGATTTTCTCGCACACGCTTCGCAGAAGCAGCCCGTAGGCTTGTCCGACATGCACAAATTAACTCCAAGTATTTTGGAGTCATCCGCATTTGCGGGCATCGCCAAAGTGGCGGCAGTGGCTACTCCTACCCTGAGCTACAGGCTGCCTGACCTACCTGAGCTACTGGCAGGAGTGGGTAGCCACTTCCTGGGAGTGGGGAGCCACATCCCAGTGAAACAGGACGAAAGTCCTACAGGGAGGATACCTCACCCGGAGGGGAGGAAACCTTCACCCTGCAGAGCCTCCTGTCTCTGCACAGGAGAGGGGGGGCTAGGAGGCCAAAAACCTCCTGACCCTCTCCTGATGCCCGGGGCGAATGGGATTTTCTCTCGAAGCGTTCTGCTGTCGCGGCTCCAAGGCCAGGTGAAAAGAAGCTCCAAGCTACCTAGAAACACAGATCAACAGAACTACACTGCCTACGGAAGTCTCGCCCTGCCACCCGGAGGTTACAGAGCGAGACTGTTGCACACAGCGTCCTGGACCTTGTGTTGAAACCAGGCGACAAAGGATGCATGAGCCACGAATATCAACGGGCATGCAGGCAGGATGCATCCCAGAGCCTGGGGAGAAAGCCTAGCAGGGCGAAAAGTGCAAAGCCAGCACTCTCTTGACAGACCTGCAGCAAGCAGGTTGAGGTGTAGAGGAGAAGACCGCAGCAGCCCAGCGCCTGTACAAACCAGCTACCAGCAGCCTGTACACTCCCCGGTGGAATGAACCCGGTAAGGGCACACACCACCAAAGGGCTCATGAGCATTATAACAAGAAGACGAGTCGTTCTGGCTCGGCAGCGAGCTGAGTGCAACCAGAAGACTATGGGCCCTCGGATTCAGGACCAGCTCAAGGTGCAAGAATGACGCACAGGTTTCACGAACAAAGCAGTAAAGCAAAACTAGATTCAATGCCCAGAGTCGGGTAAAGAGGTGGCATTTCATCAACCAGCACTGGCATTGGCATTGCTGATCAAAAACCGCCTAACCTCAGACCACACTAGGCAGCACCCAAAAACCCCAAGGCGCAGGTTTTGTGGGTGCAAACATACTGCAACACCTGACTTGGCCGTTTAGGGAAGATTGCAAGGGCCCAGTGTCACGGCGAAGCATCAACATGTGATCGCAGGACTTGGGCAATGCAGGTGCAGCCACTGGCGCACACCGGTAACCATCTAGGGTGCGGTATTTTTTTTTTTTTGAAAAGTCAGGGCAAGCCCCATGGTAGATGTTGGCAGCGGCCCGGGTTCATCCAAACCATAAGGTAAGCCCTTGTTCCAGGCCCGAGTCGGGTGTATGGCATATTCATCAACCAGCAACGACATGCAGGCAATCATGGCACCCCCTCTTGGACTGATGCGGCACCTAGTGTCTGTTGAGCACACTTTACAAGCTCTAGACCTAGCTTTTCAGGATAGAACCCTGAATCTTTTAATTCCACCTGTACATGTTCATGCACTTGGTCACATTCCCTTTTAGGAAACACTTTGACCCAGCGTTTACTGTTCGTGGCAAAGTACCACCGTTTAAACACACAGTCGTACGCACAGCGGTCTACCACAATACCCTCAGAAAGCCCCAATTCTGAAGCAACCTGAAGATACCGCGGGTCCTTCCAGAGGTCGTTCTGCAGAGGCCACTCTTGAGTCAACAACAAGCGTTCACTCCGAGCAACCGGTTTCAACAAACCTTCAAGAAGTTCCCAAGCACGCTGATGCAACTTCTTCTTCTCTTCCCACTTCTCTTGACTGTACTTGCGCCACCCGCGGTAACGCAAACGACACCCAGTGGTACAGGGAGTGGAGATATGGCAGTAGATCTTCGTCTTCAAGCCACAACTCAACACAGAAAACAACTCCTTCAGAAAACACTGCGTCTGCTCAGAACAAAAGTCAAGCTTTTCAGTGACGCCCACATAGGCAATCTCAAGCTTCTCACATGCCTTCTGTAAGGCACTTTCTTCCTGGCAGAACAGTTCAACGACCACAAAGGTGACCTGGTTCTTCGCCACAGCTTCACACAGTGAAACGTACTCCTCAGGAACAAAAGAACGGTTTACCGGCTCTTCTGCAGTCAGGCGTTCCAGCTCAAACTCACCCAACTCGTCTTCAAAAGAAACCAAACCGGTTACCTCGTAGAGGTTGTCCAGCTGCTCCTGAAAAACCATACTCTTGGTCAGGCCGTCGGAGGCATTATATGCTCCGGCCACAAACTCGAGGATCACTCTCCCCGACTGAACCATCTGCTGCAGGAAAGCACACCGCAACTCCAGGTGACGAACCCTTCTCAAGAGTCCCTCCATTGAAGCAATCGCCTTTGCCGACTCAGAATCGGTACAAATCCGGATCCAAAAGCTTCCGGTATCATCCTCAGGCAATCCCTCCAAAAACGACTGTTGAAGCAACCCTGCAAACAAAGCCTCTTTCACAGTCTCTACCAAAGCACTCAATTCAGCCTCGGCACTGCTCAGGGCCACAACCGTCTGTTTACGGCTAAAACTCTTCAGCAGGTTGCACTGCCAGCAGATAATCGCCCCACTCACAGAGGGCAAATTCCAGCTAGCATCACAGAAACAATCGATCACACGCGTACTTTCCGAAGGGCGATAGTTCACCCACTGTGCCGGGATCCGCTGAACCCGATTCCCAAGCGTGAGAATCCAACGCAGCACAGCTCGAATACACGCTTCACTCCTGGAGTCTGGGTTGCTCTGGCTCCGGGCCAGAAAACCTACAACAAACTGCAAATCAGCTCTTGTCAAAGCTAGCCACGACAGTTTGCCCAACACGCGCCGGTAGCGCTGATAGGCCTCATGCGTGATCGGGGTGGATTCCAAACTGGTCCACAAACGCTCAAGCTTGGGGAGTTTCGCTCCCTTCGTGATTTGATACTCTTCCGCACAGCTATGGAGCATCCCGGGTTTGAGTCCGAAGTACAAGTCTCCGGTCTTCCTCTGATAAATGTTTCTCCCAAGGAAGGAGATCACCGATTTCTCTCCCGGTTGAAGCGTTCCCGTGCGCTTCATCTTGAACACTTTACTCAGTTCCTCAAACACTTTCTCAGCTACACTCGCAACCGTGCTGAAAACCAAGATGTCATCTACATAGGCCAACACCAACACAATGGCATCCTTGCCTTTCTCCTTGATCACCTTGCGATACACAGTGCTGTCAGCAGTAACAAAGAAACCAAGTTTTCTCAGTGTTTCTCCTAGCTCACGAAACCAAGCCAAAGGCCCAATCCGCAAACCATTCATGGCACGCTTCAGCAGACAATGCACACGTTCACCTGACACTGTCCTACAGTTCTCCGGCAGCTTCACCACCTCAGTAGAAAACAGCTTAGCCTGCATGAAGGCCACAGAAATATCTCCCGAAATCACCTTCCCTCCGAAATGCGCATACATCCCCAACAGACACCTCACAGACTCTAAGGTAGTAGTAGGAGAATAGATGCCATCAGCTAAAGCAGAGGTGGGCCCTTTAAAGTCACGCACAACCAAACGGCAGCGCACACGCTTGTGCCCGTCCTTGTAGTGCAACACCCACCTGGTGGAAAGCACTCTCCTCTTAGCTTCCCGCACAAGGCGAAACGCCTCCTTCTCAGACACAACCTGGCACACACCAAAGTGGTCCAGTTCCTCCATTTCAAGACGCATCCCTTCCCCAAGTTTCTTCTCCTCAAGAACCTCCCCAGTATACTCATCAGCAGCCCCAGAAGGAACCTCAACCTTCACCTTGGACCCTCCAAACTTCAAAGTAAACTCCAACTTGGCCGCCCTAGACCCTTTAGCGTCCTTTGCCGCGAACACAACCTCAGGTCTAGAACACATGGAGTACAAAGCATGGTCCTCCAGCCAGCTGATCGCCACCTCCATGGGATCATCATCGTCGGCCGGCTGCATGTCCACATCGTACAAAGGTGGGGCCTCGTTCTCTCCTGCAGGGGGACCTTCAGGGAGTACCTCTTCCTCCTCAACTGGAGAAGGATCATAGTCCATAAGCTCATCCTCCAAGAGCTCAGCTGGAGCCTCCGGCTCCGCACTCCCCCTCTCAACTAGATTACCCTTAGGCTCTCCAGGCTGAAAGGCTTCGGGGGGCTTCAGGTCTAAGGAAACAGGACGCTCTAAAACGTTGTCTTGCCTAGAAGGGGCACCCGAATCAGCGGCTTGTACCACCAACTCCTCAGGATACAGGTAAGGCTGGTCCGGCCGAAAGGCCGACATCACC